GAAGGAAGGAAGGAAGGAAGGAAGGAAGGAAGGAAGGAAGGAAGGAAGGAAGGAAGGAAGGAAGAAATTACAAAAATCTTGTGCTGTGATATATGATTGTAATTCTTGTTCTCAGAGGGCAGAAACAGCTAGATCTCTGTGAGTTTGAGGTTAGTCACAGCTACATAGTAAGTTTTAAACTAGCCAAGACTACATAGGGTAACCCTGTCTCAAATAAACAAACCAGCAAAATGTAATCAATAATGAAATAGATAACACCCAAGCAAAAACAACCTAATGCCCAAAACTGATCCGTTGCAATCACTTGGTACCACTTCTCTGTTGTGTTTTTTCTTGATTCTTTACATCTCTCACATATGGAAGATGGAGGCATCACATGGCAGTAGCTGCTCAGTAAGCAGCTTCTCCTGCCTCTGTGCTATGATCCTCCATCAGTGCTATGAAATTTGGATATCCCAGGCACCAATCATCGACCATGTCGTGGTACAACTGTACCACAGCTTTGGCACAAGTACACATTTTCGGTAAAATTAAAAAAATTCATTTAGTGAAAACCAAGTAGCTACTTTGATTTTATAAGAATGTTACATATTTTGTTCGCATATGCAAATTACACATCAGGAAAATTTACTATAAACTTATAAAGTGCATATATTTTTGCTGGGGGGGGGGAAACAGTACTAAACGTTGACTGACATGTGAATTCAAGGCCACTCTGGTCTACAGAATGAGGTTCAGGAAAGTCAAGCCTACCTAGAGAAATCCTGTCTCAAAGAGACAATACTTTGGGGGTGGGCTTTGAGCTTTTGTAAGCTATGCATGGGGGATCAAGATGAAGAACTCTCAGCTCCTTCTCCAGCAACATGTCTGCATACTGTCATGCTTCTTACCATGACTAATAATGGACTAAACCTGTGAAACTGCAACCCAGCCCGAGTTAAACGCTTTCCTTTCTAAGAGTTGTTGTGGTCATGATGTCTCTTCACAGCAATACAAATCTCCGGCAACACTAAAACAGATCCCATGAATGGTAAATGGGAAACATCAAATCTACTCAATAATATTTTTGGAGGCTTCTTGTTTCATAATGCTTTACTGAGCATTGTTTTTTCTTTTTTTTTCCGTATAGGTCCTTTGAGTATATATAATGGTTTCTAGTGTTTTTTTTTTCTTAATTTCTCTGTGTATGAATAAGCATGTCTTTATGTCAATATGTATTTCTCACATTTTTTCTTTGACTGTTTTTTTTTCTGGTAGTTTGCTTGCTTTGTCTTATTCCCATTTCTTTGTTTTTATGTTATGTCAATTAATTTTATATTATTTTGATAAAAGTACTGGCTCTCGTGCTCTCTCTTTTCTTGTGTCTCCAACTTGGAACAGTCGACAAGCTAAGGGATGTTTTGAAGGTTGTGTGTTCTGAACTTTCAGGAGAAAAGAAGACACAATTATTTCCACAAGCAGGTGCTTTCTATCCCACACTTGGTCCTTCCCCTTCATGACTGGAGCAGTTCACTTAAGTTTCCTGAGGGTCAGTTTCCTCATGAGCAAAGGGAAACCTTGATGCCAGTCTTCAATGTTTACTGGAATAGTAAGAGAAAAAAGGAAAGCAACACTGTCTAAGAAGCTACATCTCCATTAACAATGACTCCAAGAGAGAACACAGTGATGTCGAGAAGGTTGTTTCAAAGAATTTCCTGGTCTGGAGCAGACTGTTCTCACTGCAACACTACTGATGCTTTGGATCATGTGCTGATTTTTTTTTTTTCTTGGAGGCTATCCTGTGCATATCTGGAGTGTCCCTGGACACATCCCACTAGATGCCAGGGGCCCTTTTCTAGTCATGACAGTAAATGTTTACATGGATAAGTGTTCCTTAAGGGACAAGTCAGCCATCTCTGAGGACCACTGCTTTCAGAAGACAGCCTTTCCTGAACAGACTTTTCTGGAACTGTCTCAGCTACAAAATGACATCTCACTCAGAACCTTGACCCTCTCGGGGCAGCCCACACCAGTAACAGATCGATGACTTGTACAAAGTCCTGGTCATCTTGGCTTCCTTGATGTCATAACGAAGGGCCCTTCTCGAATCAAGCTCTGCATGGGGTCAGCAGGGCCTGGCACTGGGCCTGATTCCCACTTCATCCTCTCCTCTAGTCTACTGCAGCTTCTTTCCTCTCTCTTGCCCAGATGCCACTCCTGAAATATTTGTTAACAGACATCTGGCACACTCACTGTGTCTCAGGGTCTGCTTCCTGGGGAATTCATCTGAACTAACTGCCCTCCACTTCACTCTCGAGTCCAGTTACCTGAATCGTTTCCCCAGATCTAGCAGAAGAAAGAATGCACTGAGCAGTGAGGGGCAACAGTTATTTGCCAGAACTCCAGGCTTCTCTTGGAATCAATCATGCAACTGCACAGCTGGGTCGAAATGTATGAAATGCCCTGTCTGTTTTAACAAGGAAGAATAACTTCATCTGAAAATAACATCGTTGCCATAAATGTGAAGGGAAATGGTGATGCAATGGGGGATGACTTTGGTGATATTGTGTTAGCTCAAGAGGCAATGATGAAGCTGAGATGGAAATACAATGGCATGCAAAATTTATTTTACAGAAAATAACTTTGAATATAATTCATTAAACCAAATTCCCACCATTAATCACTCTTTATTGAGAGGGATAAGAAATGAAGGGGAAACGGAGAAAGAGAGAGAGGGAGAGAAAGAGAGAGAGAGAGAGAGAGAGAGAGAGAGAGATCAGCAAAGGGATTATTGTAACTTACATAAGATCTGTGTTCTTTGCCATCATAAATGTTCAACGTGGATATCAGAACTGTGAAGTTTAAGGTGTCTTTATTTCAAAGTTGCATTTAATATAACACCTCCCTCAGAACGCTTTTCTCATAGAGAGATGTGAGATTGTATCCAGACCCAGGCTAATTATTTCAGTTTGTTTGAAGTACATTCAACTCGGCGGTCACTTATAGAATTTGAGAGATGACATCAGCAGCCCAATTTGTAAGCTTCCAGAATCTCCTACCAGCAAACTCTGAGAGATAAAGGTCTCTGTGCTAATGGGGTCTGATCACAGAGCCTTCAGAAACCTGATTCGTACCCTCCTCCTCACTCCACTTCTACCTGATCCCTTATGTTCCCATTCCCACCGACCCTCAAGTCCACTCACAAAAATCAGCCGTATAACCTTCAACCTACAGTCTGTCTGGTTTATGGTATGTGCTAGCATAAGGGTGACACAGAGACTGTGGCAATGGCCAGTCAATGACTGGTCAAACCTGAGACCTATGCCATTAGAGTGAGCACACCCTTGACACTGCCTGGAACACCAGGACCCAGAGGCTGGATAAGCCACAGACCTAGGACAGAATCTTACACAACTGGAGGAAAAAGAAATGTCAAGGAAATGATATCTAAGGATATTCTGCTATACTCATAGATTGGTGCCTTGGCCTAATTGTCATCATCAGATGCAGAGACCCACAACCAAATATTAGGCTGAGCTTGGGAAATCCTGCTAGATAGAGGGAGGAAGGATTGTAGGACCCAGAAAGGTCAAGGACATCACAAGAAAACCCATAGAATTAACTAACCTGGGCTCATAGGACATTGACAGAGACTAAACCAACAACCAGAAACCTACATAGGACTGACCTAGGCCCTATGCATATATTTGACAGTTATGTAGCTTGGTCTTCTTGTGATACTTCTAACAATGGGAGCAGAGACTGTCTCTGATTCTTGCTGGCTTTTGGGTTCCCTACTCCTCTTACTGGGTCGCCTTACCCAACTTTAATACATGGGGAGGTGCTTAGTCTTACTACAACTTGATGTGCCGTGGTTTGTCAATATCCATGGGAGGCCTGCCCCTTTCTGAATAGAAAAGGAGAAGGAGTGGATGTGATGAGGGGCAGAGTGGAGGTGGGGGTGAGGAACTGGGAGGAAAGAAGGGAGGGAAAACTTTGGTAGGGATATAAAATAAACAAATTTAAAAGAAGAAAGAAACCTACTTCATGGCATTTGCCTTTCAGCTTTGTTTTCCCAAGCCTGAATATGTTCTCTCCCTTGGGAGGAAAACAATCAACAATTGACTTGGCAAGGAGAGGGACCCTTCCTTTGTGAAGTTGTGGATAGGGACAATTGAAACCACTTCCTTAATCCAACAGCTTGGTTTGACACACTTACAAAAGGACCAGAATCAGTAAGTCTATTGATTGTGACTCCCATGCTCTACAGAATCTGCCCCCAATTTGTTACCTTCTATCTCAGTAGCTAGAGTGACATGGGATTCCCCTCTGTAGGCTATGAATATGCTTTATTACCATTGGTTATTAGGGAAACCTTCTTGGCCAATGGCTTAGCAGAGTAAAGTCAGGCGGGAAACCTGAACAAAGACATAGAAAGTAAGCAGAGTCAGAGAGCACCATGTAGCTGCCAAAGGAGAAAGACACTAGCTGCCAGCCAGAACCGGATTGGTAAGCCACAGCTTTGTGGCAAAACACAG